AACCATTTCTTTTATTATTCTCTAACTGAATGCCATTTAGTTTCCTTTTCATTTCATTTGAATTAGTTAGCCTAGAGTTTGAATGACTTCTAATGGGACATGGAATTAGAGCTGAGTGTTTTGATGATTCATATGTAGGCGTATTTCTGAAATCTTCTATTGGTCTTATGGGGTAACCTGATTTATGTATTTTTATAGTACCATATATTCTATAAGCGTTATTAGTTTTAGGCATTAAATTAAACCATTTAGACTCACTCAATGACAGCTTCATACTACGTATTAAATCCATTGTAGATTTCATAATCTTATTCATTACTGTATCTACAGGCTTCTTAATTTCCTCATATGGACCCGTTTAAATGTGTTCAGTGACTTCCTTTATATAATCAGATTTATCCAAAACTACTGTAGAGTTTCGTTTATCAGCTTTTGTGATGCGGATGTTTTTTATCATTTTTAAGATTGATTAGAGCCAATCTTTCTGATTTCGTTAAGTTTGGCTGTGCAGTCTTTTGTTTCTTAAGAGTAAATGCACATTGAGTTCGAACCTCTTCTGCTGTCGCCTTATCTATTAAACTTAATGCTACTTCTGTATTAAGGATGACATCTTCTGAGCAGATGTTTTACTGAAATCTGATGAATTCATGAAATCCTGCTTTATTAACGTTTGTTGCTTGTTTTAAAATACGTATCGAGAAATGAATGAAGAAAGCTTGTATTCCTTTAAACTTGAATCGAATTTGCATTGGACACCGAGTTAATTTCACAAAGTGTTGAATTAACTAAATTATTTAGTTACTGGTAGCAATAATAATAATAACAATAAGTATAATATATACAGTGTACTTCTCAATAGGATCTCAATTAAGAATTTCATACGTGCAGTTCCCTTGATTAATTTGAGCAAAGTGAAATGGAACATAACGGCAGGATGAAAGGAGTTCTTATCATTTCACAACTGTTCTTCTGCTACTAACTAACTGATTCAAAAGAAGAGTTACTGGACAAAGAATAATCTTTTCGATGACCTGCTCTTCATCAGGTTCTATAGTCATATATCCATCCATAACAGTGAATGAACCAGTGTTATGAACAACATTAACGCTGGTTAAATAACATCGAATCAATTATAATAATATCAGTGGATTACAGTTCAATAGCATCAACATAACAATAAACTGAATGAATGTCAGAGAAATTAGTAAAGATAATAATACAAATTCATGAATTTATAATCTTCACTGAAGGCCAGGGCAGTAGTAGGGGTTGGACATGCTTCTTTTGAACACAGAGCACTGGCTGTTTCACGCGAATTGCAATAGCCTCTACTGTTTCGAGCATGCGGTGCTTCGATATTTTTGGCAATTTATTTGGCACCCGGTAGATGATAGGGAAGGATTCTTCAACGCTGGCTTTGTGGCGGGTTTGGACAAGATGGTCCAATATCGAACAGTTAGTGGTTTTCACTACACCTTTATTTAACCACATTGGTAGATGTTTCCGAGTGAGCACGAAAAATCAAGTTCCTAGAGCAACGGCCAATAAAACCTGCTCCACAAGCGCAGTTGAATCGGTAGATAAAATCAGAAGTATCTAGTCTAGATACTTCATCTTTCAGTTGAGGAATCACCACCAGTCGTGTAGAAAATAACCATCCTTGAATTACAGTCATGTGCATAAAGACTTGTTGTTTACGGATGGGGTGAATAGTCATTTTCAATTTCCTTAGTTATATTTTTCCTGGTGAAATTGTCTGGATAGCTATTTTCAATTGTGGTATTATGTAGTACCCTTAGTTCATCTTCAATTACTTCTTCTGAGCATATAGCTCTAACTCTGTGGCTGAAGGTCTTTACTAAATTTCTTTTATACTTGAGAGGAACAAAGCTGTGAAAATGTATATATTGTCCTGTCCATGTATTCTTTTTATGCAAATTTCTTTTTATGCTACCATCTGGTTTTCTTGTAAAGAGGACATCCAAGAAGATAATTCTGTTTTTGGATTATGTGAATTTCATAGCCGAATGTACTTCATTGAATTCAGTTATTATTGTACTCCTACCCGAAACATTATTCATATACCGGCAATGAAATGAGAACTCTCTGATAAAGTTGTTCGAAGATCCATTTTCTAGTTTACTCAGAAAGAAATCTACCCAAATGGGACCCAATGGGTAGCCCATTGCCACCTCATCCACTTATCTGTAAAGTGTGCCGTCAAATTTGAAATTTACATTCATCGTACACCTTAATAACAATTCTTTTAGGATTTCCGTTGGGATGCCAATGTTTATCTACTGGTTATCCACTTGTTCACATATATAGTTAACTGTTCCTACTAGAGGTTCGAAAGTTGTTATTTTTTTAGCTCATTGGGCATAGGCATATGAATACAAGACGGTTAGTAGTCTGACAATCAAAGTTTATTTATGCATAATGTGACAGGATACTTGGTAATACTAATAGCTTTATTCCAAACAGTGAGTATTTTTGGTACAAATATGGAATTTCCAGCACGTGGTACACTAGTGAATCTAATTTTCTCATTTCCGAGGTAATTATTAAAACAGGGCATTTGCATTGATTAATATTGTTCGGTATGAACATGAATATGAAAAATTAGACCAAATGGAATTATTAACAACAACTTAACAATGAAAAAATAGTGCCTTTTGCTTAGTGTTTCGCAGCAATTTGGTAGTGTCCTGCCTTACACTTTCCTCATAACATAAAATGTGTACCGAATATGGTATTGTGGAGTTTTTATACTTAGTCGCCCGAGCTTCTAGTTCCACCTAATGAAATGCAAGGAGAGAGTTGTGTATGAGGAGGATTCTCAGGGTTCGACAAGATAATATTCAATAAATTTCTTGCATGAATTCAAGTGTCTATCTACAAGGGTATGAACAAATTGGTTCAATGACACACACATACACCCACTCGTCCTACTGACGGCTTTTAGTGTCCTTCGCAGTGTGACAAAGTCTTTCTTCCATAACCCAGGAAAATTTAGGCGGGGCGGGGACAGGAGAGCAATAAAAAAGAAGAGGTAGAGTACAAGAATTAACAAACTGTAACAGTAGAGACGGAATGATACCAGATTGTCTTAACTTCCTAACATGGAACGTTAACAGGAATATCATTTTAGAAACCAACATGGTGTGGGAAGATCAAAAAAGACTAAGCGAAATACACAGTTCAAGGTCTTTAATAACACTGTGTGATTTATCAAAATAAAATCTTATCTATAATGGAGTTATTCTCTGCAACAGTGCCCAAGTTTTATACTTTCACAGTCTGCTTAGTTTCTACTTCTGTGCCATTTATGATAGTAGGATCATGCGAACTGACCAGTTCATGTAAGTCGAGCTTGTTTCTGAAAGTGAAACTAACAACCTGACATTTGGAAGGATTAAGGTTAAGACCATTTGATCATCACGGACCACTGACTGATTTCTGATAACATGTTATTCAGTTTGGAAAACTCTGATTGGGAAGTAACCCATATGGAAACAATCAGATTATTGCCATGCTTAACAGAACTAGCTTCATTAGAATGGAGCAAATCATTTAATAAGAAAGAATAGCTCCCTGAGGAATACCAGACAGAGTAAGTGAAGTAGTGTACTACTTTCTATCAGAAAAATAGGAATGCAACCACTTATTCGTCCAGCCCCCTGCTTGTGTCGCAACAAGCTGACTTAACAAAAGAGACCTAGGTAGAGAGTCGAAGGTAGATGTGTAATCAAGGAAGGCACACTGAACATATGTGATATATGATAAACAGTTGTATCTAAAGTACACCTACTACCTTTATAAGCAAATTGTTTAGCGTCGTTAAAAGCCTTCAATGAAGGATCAGGGTTAAACAGAAACAGTTTTACAATTATTTTTAAAAATGGTGAGGTAATGGCAATAGATCTAAAACTACCACTTTGCCCACTTAATGATTTAGTCACAGGAACAGTTTTAATTTCCTCCCAAGAAGCACGCACAGTGTTATTAAAAACGATTCATTTGAAATACCAGTGATAGGATAACATAAAAAGTCAGCATATTTTTTTGAGGATAATAGCCGGTACACCATCTGAACCAAGGGACCGAGTAGGTTTCATGGATTTGAGACATTTGAGGAAGTCGTTTTTAATAAAACCGGAGAAGCAGTCATTATTTGCACTTGTAGCATATAAGATCATAACATCATCTGGATAACATATGAAAGACTTATCAAGAGTACCAGTGTCAACTGAAGAAGGATGATTATTTATTTGCTTAACCCCTGTGATTTCCTTAAATTTCTCCTACATATTTAATGAGAACGAAAGGAATGGTATTAGTAGAAGTAAAACGGTTGCATAAGCAAACTACTGGAAGATTACCTAATAAGTCCAGCTCAGTGAGCTGAAATAATTTTCAGGGCATGTCACATATTTTTGCATTTGTTTTGAGCCTGTTAGCAGCTGATGAAAAGCTGTGAAATAAGAAGGAAATGAGGTCTTTTTATCCTGAAAAACTACGTTCGCATTCTCTTTATTTACAAAATATATTTATGGTCGTTTGACCTGAAGAAAAATACGAGCCTTCATATCTAAAGTTGGTCTCCTTACATTTATGTAACATATTGGGCGTGAAAACACTGTACATGTTTCTATCGTTATAAAACACCTGTGTATGTAAGCCAACTTAATGCGTATATTCCTGTAACTGTCATCCAAAGTACAGGATGGAGGACTACACTACCTTACCTCCACTTGGCATCAGCATGGAAGAATGAGCTACTTGTTGGCGTATAAGTGTTAAGCCCATCTCCATTATCATCCTCATCATACATATTTTTATCTACCAATAGTTATCATTAGTTAAGGTCAAATGAGGAAAAATATTAGTTATGTGATTGGATGATACCTGTAAACGATACAACACAATGATTGGTTAATTTTTATCATCCAATCAATGATAAGTAGACAAAGGGTCACACAGCATACAATCCATCACATCCAACTTTTTACCGAAATACTTTATTGATTGTATTGACCGTTGCTCATGGTCGTCAGCTAATCTGTTCGCAGATAGTCGTAGTAATCCATCTTAGTTAAATTGTCTGAATTCATATTCAGATGTGTTTATCATCTTCCGGATGGAAATCCTAAATGGAATATTATTTTATTTAATCAACATTTAATTAGCATTCCTATGTTGTTTTTATAGTATGCGGAATATTTAATACAAGTTCAAGCTGGGGAATTATACACTTGTAAATGGAAAGAACCTATTCATGTTATTGCTATCATTATCGCTATCACTATCACTATCATCATCATTATTATTGCAATTTTTTTTCAACGGTTTGGAAGTCATTAATCGGATTTAATGTTTCTATCTAATTATAATTTTACAAAATCATTTTTGTGGGAATGGCGTAATCATCAACGGAATAATGTACCGGTCAATTCAAGGAAATACTATTTGTATACATTTATCTTATTCACTTTAGTACTTTTGACTAGTTTTTCTTTGATAACCTATACACAATCTGTTACACCGAAAGAGAATTCTTCAGGTGAATGGAATAATTACAACTTTGATTCATGTTCTTCTGAATTATGTAAAATAAGTAGAGGTAAGTTAAGCTCGTTTTTTATTGCCTAATTTTATTATGATTTTGTTCAGTAATGTTCGTTAGGCAAAGTTAAGAAACAGAAGACACCTGAGTGAATGGTCACCCTGAATGACCTTAAATAGACTAATGGAGTCAAAAAGGCAAATTTGAGGGAAAGAAAGGGACTCGAGTTAAGTATTAATAATGAATTTTGTTCAGGGTAAAGTTAAACTATATCGACTATTCTGATCAACCTAAACATTAACTTGCAGCATTTAATCAGCACAATTATTCTTACTTTTATTCTCTTGCGTTCCAAGTGGGACTTAGGGCCCAAATCTCCATTTCATTTTTCTAGCCAGCTTTTATTTCTTCTGCACATAATCTTTGCCATGTCACCCTCTAAACCACATCCAACTCGTCGTTTCCCCCGCCTAGTTTAAAAGCTGGTCCTAAACCCGGGTAATGAGGGAAGATTCGACGTGGAGCTAACTATCCTACCCGAGAAAATCAACCCACTCGCTACAGAAAATTCAAGGCACAGGAAAATCAATCCGTTAAAGAGCAGTAATTGACGCAAAATTGTTAAAAAGGTGAACATAGGTCATGGTATCCTGAGATGCGATTATGTTTTTTTTTTTTAAATTGTATTCTTTAGTCTGTCCTAGAATCCCAATCCTCCCAAAAGGCCTGTTATTCTGTCAAATTTCTCCCGTATGTGCATATTAAAGCAGCTCCATTTAATCCATTATCCGCAGAGTAATCGTAAATTTGATCATCCTGGGACTCTTTAAATAATAATAAATAATTTAAATTTGAATAATTTGTTTATATCACAGGTAACTGTAGTTAGTTGTCGAAGATCACGTACTGGGGTGGTCGTTATAACGTAGCTTTGCCTTGTTCAGGATGGTGGAAAAAATCTTCACCTGGAAATTGTTGTAAATTAAACCCTAATCAATTATCCTTGACTGTGATTCAGTTCATAGTAGTTGACCTTAACTGTAATCTTCCCCTTACTCTAGTTCTTAACCTTGAGCGATCATCCTTTAAATAAATACCGACAGTCGTATGAGAAGCTGGGAGTTAAAGAAAAGTATCTTGTGCTTACGTCTTTTTCAACATTTGTTTTATGAATATACTGTTCCACTGTCTTGTACCGGTTAGACGTTTCAACGTCATTGGTGCGTTTGTTTGTGTTGGGTGTCTGTCTTCTATATTCCCCGTTCGTTTTGATTATTTTTATCATAATATAGCATCAGTTCACTCATCTAGACACGGTTATTTCGTAAAAATGATTTACGAATTCGAACTAATTTCCGTCTAACTAGGTCGAACAGTCAACCAGTATTAATAATTCTCATGTAGGCAGTATAATCGACTACGTATATGGTCATTAAGCTGCAATATTAGTAATTTCATACCAGCAATTAAACACTATCGTGTGTGTCGGTGGTTTAACGGTAGAATGCTCACCAACCATGCGTGTGATCCGGGTTCGATTCCCGCCCGACGCACTTCTAAACATCGCCTATTATGCTAGCCGGTATTTAACCCGATAAAGAGGGAAGGTTGGGCGTGATGCTAGCAGTCCCACCCAGTAGAAAAAATAACACCGCTACTGCAACTCCTAAAACTTGAAGCCCCAAGTTCCATCTGGGACACAGGGAATGGAAAAAAGCAGGATCACCTATCAAACACAATCCAGGCCTAAATGTACTGATGTGTGTTTCATTATTATGATAAACGTCGAGAAAACTCCAAGTTGTACTGGCCGTGGTTAATTATTTATGCTAATTAAACTCTTAAGAGGTATGAGAATGTTGCTTGTTTTGTTTTCATGTACAAGTTTATGATCCAATAGTACAATTACCCAGAGGCCCACTTCTGTCATTTAGGTTTTCATTCCACCTCCAGTGATCAGTTATCAGTCTGCTGATCCAAAACTATCTTAGTCTTACCAACAGTTATTTACAGATCAAATTGTTTGTATGTAAACAATGACCAAGCATTTCATTCCGCTAAAATCAGTCAATGGGAAATTCAAAAGTAGTGCTTTCAATAAATAACAATAATAGGAGATGATTGTTGTGCCCCGCTAATGACTAGCTACCGGACGAAGTTGTCAGGAGTTCTAGTGAGAAGGCCTGACCGATGGGGTCCACCATGCCTGGTGTGAAGACAAATGCTTGCCGATGACATTGGCTGATAATCGCGCTAAAATCACGAATCAGTAGGAGTTGGAATTCATGACTGAATGGTCCACGAGCTTTCTCTGTAACTGGAAGCCCCTGGATTTGAACCCCGATGGGCGCGTACTAGTGAAGAGTCCCAAAATAGGACGAAACAGCTATCCAATTCAGTGGTTCTCAGACTGATATCAATCCGTGATCAAACTTGGAACAAATCAAATCCCTATAAACTAACTCTTGAAAATACTAGATAACGCTTTGCCGTTTGGAACGACCGAGTGTTAGGTTCGAGTCTCATCATCACGTAGACACATTTACCTGACGAGTCCCAAATAGGACGAAAACCGCGTCTTAGATTCCACTCCTAATCACCAATCAAATGAAGTCATTGTTTCTGGTGTGTATTGAATACACACTGGTTTCATATTTTCGTTTTATTTCGGTAATCTCTCCTAATTAGGAAGTGAACTATTTATCCACTGCGTGAAATATGCGGTTCGTCACTGTTTAAGATCACGGTATGGTTTTAGTTTTAAAGTTCCATAATAGATCAGGATTGAATAGCTTTCCTCTAGATAGTGACTTAATTAGTATGTGACTGTAAAAATTTTCCACCTAGAAGTAAATTGTTGGACGGTGACTAGCAGTGTGAAGACCAGGGTACGCGCATTTCGTCCAATTTGGGACTCGTCGTCTGGATGTACCTTCATTCCTCAGTGAGAAATGGTGTTCCCACTTTGGCTAGAACCAAGTACCCATAATTTCAAATGTCACAGCGTCATCTACTAGACTACCTGAACTACGAGAGCCACCTCTTGTGCAACAGGTATTAGTAATTATTTAATTCACTTTTGACTTTCCCGTTGATTGATTGAACCGAAGTGCTTGGCCTCAGGTTGACATGTTGACTCCTTGTGCAGATACTTCAATGTTGTCTGATTATTTAACTTGAAGTAAATAGGGGGGTAGTCACTAGCAGTGAAATATAGGATGATTGCATGGAGGATTTCATCATGAGCTGACATCAGTTAGAGAACCATTGGAAAACCTGAGAGTACTGGACAGCTGTTTCGTCAGCCTAGTTTGGGACTCTTCATCAGTACACACCCACTTGCAGAGTTCGAACCCAGCGCATTTCTTCCTATTTGGGACCTGAGGCCGACCACTTCAGTCTAATCAATCAACAGAAAAGTTCAAATTGAATTCAATAACCTTCCATCTATCCTCAATAATTGATGAAGAACATTTACTTTGGTGTGTTAGTTTGTTGCATGTCTCCGAAGAACTGTCTCTATCTCTCTCAGGTACAGCCAGATGACGAGTTCTAAATGGGACGAAATGCTCGGATCCTGGATTCCACACTGCTAGTCACCATCCACCAATTAACTTCTAACTCTCATTGAGTTATTTGTGTAAAAAACATGAATCATCAACATTGTTTCTTTTGGTGTTCAACGTAAGGCTATTCATTCTGATAGTGAACCCTACATTGACAACCATCTTGAAACTCTACCAACTAGCTAACTAACTAACTAACTTCCCTGGCAATTTTTCATGTTCATGTTTGAAATTAGTCGGTCGACAACAGTTTAGCCTTCCTAATAGTTCTCAAGTAGTGAATATATGATTACCAGTCAACACATTAACTCATATCTAGTGTGTGTCAACATTGATAATACTTAGTATTTTGATTTGTACACAAGCTGGAGAGAGAGGTTATTCACTGATTACTGGAATGTGTTGGCCTAAAATTGGGATGAATTTTATAATAGAAGTGTATTATTTCAAGTTGACACTATTCATGGACTTTTTTCTGTTGTTGTTGTTAAAGAATGGTAAATTGAATTAGTACATTAGTAATGTACCGGCACGACATAAAACAAACATGTAAACAGAAAATGTGTAAATGTAACATGTTTAGAATGATGACTGAATGTAACTTAACTAAATGAATGATACGGTGTACATTTCTATAATGGTATGATGAATAAAAAATACACGTGAAGTATTTCAGTCAGCCAACCTAGTCTAGTTATATCTCGTAGACACTACATTCAGCAGGCTTAAAGCTCTCTCAATGTTTCAGACCAGTAAACAAAACGTGTCGGTTAGTGTTATATATATATATATATATATATTTCTCTGGACACTTAAGTTTCTCCATACCTCCTGACTTGATACCCTAACTGTTTAAAAATCCAGGTTAGTCGGTAGATTTCTATTCTCCAACCATATCAGATTGCCAGTGTTTCACCCATGTGATACCTGAAGGAAAAAATTAACTCAGGCGAAGTTCAACAATAACGTCGAAGTTAGTGTGAACACTCCAATGACCTTGAACGCATGCTAGTCGTTAGCTAACGGCACCTATCATTATCCAAGCACTGATGATGAACGCTGTTCATCAACTGAGGAGTGAATTTCACCCAGATCACGTTTTTGAGTACTGTTTGGACAATATGTTAATAAGCTCGTTAGGGTTACGATTAGAGATAGATTTGCAGTTGGCATTATTTATTTTAATTTGTTTTGTTTTACTATCCACATTTTCCTGGTGAGTAGTCGTCGATCCTCTTACTAGAAACTACAGTAATTGAACCGAGGGCTTTGGGGGAAGACTGTTCAATAGGATAAGAGAGATAAACGATTCTGTATTGCTCATCAGTCCACTCTGTCCTCCTTTATGGCTGTGAGCGAGACTTGGCCATTGAGAGTGGAAGACATGAAAAGATTAGCTGTCTTTGATCATAGGTGTCTGCGTTCTATATCCCGTGTGAAGTGGTATAATAGGGTGAGCAATATTGAGGTTATGCGTCGAGTGCTAGATAA